CCACGCCTTTGATCCGGTAGCCATTGAAGACCTCCGGAGGAAAGCGGCCGACGGAATACCAGGAGCAGAGGCAGTTCGGAATTTATAAGAATCTCGAATTTGGGAAAAAAAAAAAGAAGAAGTTAAGCCCTAGTGTCATGATCATATGCTCCTCGGACTGCTATAAGCCGCGCCATGATCAACACTGCCAACGGTATGATTTCTTCCACATCGTCTTCCACGGCGAACGCGCAATCGCCGGGTCTCAAGACCTACTTTAAAACGCCGGAGGGGCGGTACAAGCTTCACTACGAGAAGACGCATCCTTCCGGTCTCCTTCACTATGGCCATGGCAAAACCGTTACTCAGGTGCTTTAATTTTTAGGGTTTTTCTCTTTGGGATTGCATCGTGTAACGATTCTATTTCTGTTATTTTAATTTAACTTTTTTGTGATTTTGATGAAGACAGGTACTTGATGTCACTTTCATTTGAGTGATAATCCTTTTGGTGTTAGTTTTGATTTCTAGGATTTCACTCCATTTTTTTTTTTAGAATTTTTCTTTGTGTGTTAGGAGATGTTAGGAGAGTTTATGTAGTCTCTTGTTACTTAAAATTTTTAAGTTAATGGGAGTATTGCTGGCTGATTGATATATTGGGTTTTTCTTTTTCTTTTCCTTTTCTATGTCTATCTTTGAAAATGGTACATAATGGGAATTTGACGGATTATGATTGCAGGATTTTCCTTTTTCTTAATACCCCTTTTACTATCAATGTTCTTGTGAATTGTTGTCCGAGTTTGAATTATGGATGGATTGAATTACATTTTGCTTGATTATGATTGTTCTAGAGAGTTGCCGGTTAACTTTCAATTTATGAGTGTTTTAATTGATGCCCATGATTTTGCAATCAATTTTACATTTTACTCAGTATAATTGTCCATTCTCTTTTTGTAAACTTTAAGTTAGACCTATGCTTCAATGTCTGTGTCCTGGATTCTATTTGATTAAATTTAATAATCAGGTTACCCTAGCACATCTTAAGGACAAGCCAGCACCATCAACACCAACAGCACCAGCTTCCAGCTTCAGTGCTAGCAGTGGGGTAAGATCAGCAGCTGCAAGGTTGCTTGGTGCTGGAAATGGAAGCCGCGCATTAAGTTTTGTTGGAGGAAATGGGGGGAGTAAAAGTCTTAGTGGGAGTAGTAGGATTGGATCACTCAGTGCTTCAAGTTCGAGTAATTCAATTACTAATACAAATTTTGATGGGAAAGGGACTTACTTAATCTTCAATGTGGGTGATGCTATTTTTATCAGTGATCTGAACTCTCAAGACAAGGTAATTGGCATTTTCTTCTTTAAGTTTGATGAATAGGATGGATATCACATGATGGCATTTTAATGGGTTAATTGTTGGAAGCAGGATCCCATCAAGTCAATCCATTTCAGCAATTCAAATCCTGTTTGCCATGCATTTGATCAGGATGCTAAGGATGGACATGATTTGCTTATTGGTTTGACTTCTGGTGATGGTAATCTTTCTGGCTTAAAGTTTTAAATTGCAATTTCAGATCCTAATTTTAATCTCTGCAATTTTATGGGTGCTGTTTGTACTATTGTAGTCTATTCAGTGTCATTGAGACAGCAATTACAGGACGTGGGAAAAAAGCTTGTTGGAGCCCAACATTACAACAAAGATGGTTCTGTTAATAACGGGCAAGACTTCTATTATTATCTTCTCACATGTTACACTTTCTGAACCATTGCAATATTGATGACCTTTTGAAAAGCTCCTTTTCTATATGGTTTTATGCCCTTTCCAAGTTCCTGAATGTTCGCTTTTATCTGCCTGTCCTACAAATTTACATTACAAATGCTACTAGCCTACTAACTGGTCTTTGTATCCATAGTACAGCAGAACTCTCCACAATGAAAAGGTTAAAAAGCCTATAAGAAAATTCTAGAGCCACTAGCATGACATGCACCTGAAAAGCTTTTTCTTGTAGGCTTCTTTCTTAACCTCCTTTGAATTCTCAAGTTATAATCAGTTTTCTTCTGTTGTAAAATTCAAATTTATATCCCTTCTGAGCATGCCCTTGGATGTGTAAAAGTGAACTTTTGTGACTAACAACTGTCCTATTTTATTGATTTTATTAATTCTGGGAAGAACTTGCACATAAATTGTGTTTGGTATACTTGAGCTCCAGTTTGATCAATGCTTGTTGTTTCCACCAGTCGCTGTACAAGTATTGCATGGGTGCCTGGAGCTGAAGGTGCTTTTGTTGTTGCTCATGCAGATGGGAATTTGTATGTCTATGAAAAGGCAAGGGTCAATGTCTAATATTAATAATAGCACTCTTCACTCTGGGGATTTAAAATTTGAATTTCATGCTGGTTTTTGTCCAATGCATCATGTTAAGTGTACTTTAAGCTTTTGGTTCCCTTTTTTTGTTTCCCTCTTCTCCTTTTTCACTCCAGAACAAGGATGGTGCTGCTGATTCCTCATTCCCTGTTATCAAAGATCAAACTCAATTTTCTGTTGCACATGCACGCTACAGTAAGGTACTGGTGCTGTGTTTATTTGGTTCTAAAGCCATGCCAGTGTTTCTTATTTGCTTATTGCTTCTTATTAAATTTTTATTATGAACTCTTAATATTTAACAGTATTCAAAGGTCATTAAATATTAATGGTTTTATCATTTTTAGGTTTATTGGTGGATGCTAAATAGCATTTAGAAATTTTACTTATACATATGCTTCTTGATTTAGCTGAGAATTTAGATGATGCTTTGTAATTGTATAATATTCTTTGCACGGTTATCCACCTATTTGGATATCCATATTAGGCATTTTAGTTCACATGGCATGTCTGCATGCAAAGACATTGTAACATTCTCCTGGGATAGCATTGTAATTCGTATTAGTCTGGCTATAATGCTATATCACTGAGGGAAAGGATAGACATCTTGTGCTTATAGTTTTGCATGTTATGTGGTCTGTTGATTTATCCAAATTTACATGCAGAGTAACCCAATTGCAAGATGGCATATTTGTCAAGGCTCAATTAATAGCTTTGCTTTCTCAATGGATGGGACCTATTTAGCTACTGTGGGAAGAGATGGTAAGATATCAAACAGATATAATTTTCTCCTTGATGTCTTATTTTGTCTATATGAGTGGAAGTTGCATCTTTTGTATTTCCTTAATTCAGGTGTTTTGCGGGTCTTTGACTATTCAAAAGAACAACTCATATGCGGTGGCAAAAGTTACTATGGTGCTCTACTATGTTGTGCTTGGAGGTGCTCTACATATTTCCTTTTTCTTTCTTCTTCCTCTTCTTCCTCTTCTTCTTTTTTTTTTTTGAAGTATGGTCGCTTGCTGTTTGTTAAGAGTTTTCTTTTTCCTCAATTTCATAGTCTGTACTTTGATGTTGAATGTACTTTTAAACATTCTAGACCTTTATTTGTATTGAAACTACTATTCTTGAGAAAATTAAATATGTGATTGACAGCAAATTCTACTTAACAGTATGGATGCAAAATACATTTTGACTGGAGGTGAAGATGACTTGGTACAAGTTTGGAGCATGGAAGATCGGAAGGTTGTTGCATGGGGTGAGGGGCACAACTCTTGGGTAAGATTCTTATCCTGTTGATAAGTGTGTCTGATTGTTTCTTCTTGATGATGATGATGATGATTACTTATCCTTTATGAATGAGCTGGCAGGTTAGTGGAGTGGCTTTTGATTCATACTGGTCATCGCCTAATTCAGATGGCACAGGGGAGACAGTCATGTATCGGTTTGGTTCTGTTGGTCAGGTAATTATGTTGTTGTTAGTCTCATGAAAGTTTTATTGTCATAATAATACTTTTTCCAACTAATTAAAGATGCCATGTTTTGCATGGGTTTTTCTGTCTCAATTCTAAAAAATTTCATTGGTCTTAGTTATTATCCTAATGGATATAAAGCTAAAACTTTCAGAAAGAGGATCTTGTTTGAGTTATAGCCACCTGAAACTTAATTCAATGTTGTGAATGTGACAGTTGAGGTATAAAGTTGCCTCCTGATCAACCGATGCCCTAGTCAGTTGATTCTGTGGACCACTGTAATACCGAGATAGGATATGGATTGCAAGGAATGTTTAAGATGTAATTAGTGGAATTATATTTACTTCCCTTGCTACTATTGATTATATATTATAGGTTTCTGATATTAGGTTGAGTTTCAAAAGAAGTTAAAATTTAAAGAAGTCTCTTCATGTCTAAAATGAATTAGTTGTATGACGAACCTCTATATTCTCCAACTGAAGAGAATGAAAAGGAGGGATTTTAAGAGTTCAATGAAATGGTTTTGACATTGCTTCATAGACTATCAACAATTAGTGGTTCCCTTTCTTTCTTCTTCCCTTTTTTTTTTTTTTCTTTGAGCCAGAGGGGGGAAAAAGCAAACTGTAGACTTTAATTACTAAATGTTTGAATTCAAAGTCAAGTTCTTCTGAGAAATGATAAGAAGAGAAGAACCTTTTCTTTCTTTGTTTCTTTCTTCTTCTTTTTTTTTGCCTTCTTGGCCAGAGGGGGAAAAAGCATCCTGTAGACTTTGATTACTAATTGTTTGAATTCAAACTCAAGTTCTTCTGAGAAATGATAAGAAGAGAAGAACCTTTTCTTTGCAATTGCAGTGACATCACTTTCTTTTTCCTGCTTCTGCTCCCATACATTACTTTTGCTAGGAGTGATTCTGATTACATCAATTTCCTTTCGAGTGCAGGACACACAACTGCTACTCTGGGACCTGGAAAAGGATGAAATTGTGGTGCCATTGCGTCGTTGTCCACCTGGTGGCTCCCCCACTTACAGCACAGGGAGCCAATCTGCACATTGGGATAATGTGTCCCCATTGGGTACTCTACAACCTGCTCCAAGTATGCGAGATGTTCCGAAGATCTCACCGCTGGTTGCTCACCGTGTTCACACTGAACCCCTCTCGGGCTTGCTTTTTACCCAGGAATCTGTTCTTACTGTTTGTCGAGAGGGAAACATAAAAATCTGGATGAGACCTGGAGTTGCAGAAAGCCAACCAAGCAATAGTGAAACCTTGTTAAGTACCAGTTTAAAAGATAAGCCATTGGTTTCCAGCAAGGTTGGCAGTTCTAGTTATAAGCAATGACCAAGCATCAGATGCAAGGCAAAATGAAAGCTCATTTTTCGCTGGAGTTGCATTTCTATTTGCAAGTGTGGCGGTTCGTCTCTTATTTTTCAAGTTGGTTTTCTCTACGGCACAACTGTTCTATGCAAAATTGAATTGCAATGAGATTAACCAACCGAATCCATTGTATATTCAAAGAACAAGAATGCCATTGATGGCAGCTAAGAGGTTTGGGGAGAGAACCTCCTTTGTAAGTACAAACCGGGCGATATTGCTAGAAAATTATCGAAAATAACACTGATAGGAATAACATGAATGAAGTTGCTCCTTAAAGATATGTATTTGTTGGAGGTACATTTGAGTGATTACTTATTTTTGGTAATGCATCTTTTGCAGTTACCACATATTTTTGTTAGCTAACCCAGAAGACCTGTCGATGCCATCGTGCCATTAGGATGATAACGTGACTAGGCTATAAACAAGTTTTTGTCATGATATTCACATTTGATGACTTTATTCTAAGATTTTTCTGTTTATACTTTTGAAGAAGCCGTGTCGTGAGGGTGTTTTCGAGTTAGTTTTTTGGTAATTTAAGACTCACTTCTCTCTGGATAACTTTAAAAAGCACACTTTCATTTCGTGATTTGCTAGCAACTAAATGCACGCTAGACTTTTGTGTGTAGTGTTTGGGTAGGTTCGAGATCCAATACTGTATATACCTTCAACTGCTTCAACACTTGAAATTCCCAAGGATATTTTTTCGGGGAAAACACTCCGACACTCAAATTAGCAATACTCAATATTCTAGAGAGAGGAGCTCTCCAAGAGTAATTGCAGAGAGAGAAGCGTGATGGAGTTAATACATTGCATGGAGGTAGTTGGGGGTATTTATAGCCCCATATACTGACATGAGTTCAGATGTGTATGCATCCAATTGGCCCATGTGTTACTACCCACGTGAGTGTGTCTCCTCATCTTGGGCTTGTGAGCATATAACTGGGCCTATTGTGTGTGGCCTGGAGTGGGTGTTGGGCTTAATCTCAACATTACTCCCCCCTCAGTGTTCAGTTGACGAACTGGGTTTAGCGTTCCAATAGCGCAATGTTCGACCCTGGGGATGAGGAGTGACATCTTAGGATTTGCGATCGACCTCACACCTGGCCGAATTGGGCAACCTGAAGTTAGGGCAGTTCAATCGGGTGTGTATGCATATACTAGTTTCCTACCGAGCGTGCGTAGGTAAGCTGGTGTCAAAACAATTTTGTGTGAGTTCGGTGCTCACTGGTGAGCTCTATGAGCTCGTAAAGGCGATCTCATATGATGGATTTCCTATATAACGTGAGGGCGAGCAGAAGTCGGACGAGCTGAGCCAGTCCAGCCTTTTTAAAAAATTTTATATATTGTGGTTGTCTTGCTATTACGAGAATAAGCTGAAACAACACTGTTATAGTGTGAATACCAAAACAAACTGAAATGAGCGACCTAAATTGTCACTATAATGTAGATCCCTAAGATACAGAACAAATCTGCAAAAGTTGGTAACGACCTAATATCTAGTATTCTTCGAAATTCAAAACTGAGGTGAATCTTTGATTTATAACGACGTGATCCACCAAGATTTTTGGAAGTTTTAACTAAGGTGAATCTCTAATTTGTTACGACCTGAACCATTGAGATTTTTCAAATTTTAAACTGAGATGAATCTCGGATTTGTAATGACTTGAACCTTTGAGATTTTTCAAATTTTAAAATAGGGCAGATCTCTAAGGAGATATGCTCAGGGCGTTTCGTATTTTTCTACCAACGGAAGATATTCTTCTGCCTTCCTGCAATAAATGCTAGCTTAGCATTTGAGGGGATGTGATAGTTACAGGCGGCGGGTTTTTTGCACTCAATCGTAAATGACTGCCACGTATATGTGTTTAACTGGGGGGCCAAAAGCACGCATACAACATTTACGGGAGTGTGATTTGTGAGAAAAGCAACAAAAACACTCACTTAGCCATTTTTCTGTTTCATTGCACAGTACTTTGGCATTTTTCACAGCGAAGGTTGCAGAGGCGTTCCAAGCTCATTCCTTAGAACCTTTCAACGAAAGGACATCCGTTTTCAAAAACTCAGGTAAAAATGGCTTCTTTTCACAATGTAAGAGAGTTTTGGGGTAACCAGGGGAGAAGAAGACGAGGGTGTTATATTAGTGGAACCCATTGCTATGATAGTGCCATTGGAGTTGTAGGATTTGCCCGGAACCATCACACCGGAGAGTAACGCTAGTTCGAGTGCAGGTGGTGATTCCGATAACCACCATTCTTCAGCCTTTAGAGATTCGTCCACAGAGGAAACACATAGTGAAGTGGGGAATGCTAAAGAAGGTGGATTTACTCCGCTGGTGACAAATACGGAGGCGGACACGGTTGTATTTGAAGGATGGGAGAGTAAGGTTATCAGCGGGAGACTGGGTAACCTCCGTAAAGCCCCTAAGAGTCTCCTTGCCGGTTTTAGGTTCAGGGCGGCACTACATCATGAAGTTGTAGACGGCTTAGCCACAGTGAAGGGATATAAAAAGTTAGAGGAAATGGTGAGGCAATACTAGATCCCCAAAACCATCTTAATCCGAGTTGGGACGCAAAATGAGAGAGTGTGTACAGTATCGAGGACGGGTTGAGTGCCAGTATACGTAGACCACTTTGACGCCGGTCTATGTTTTCCTTTTCTCGGACTAAGTTTTGATGTTCTGGCAGAGTACGAGCTGACTCTAACACAACTGACTCCCAACAGCATAAAGTTCATTATAGGCTTTATGCTGTTGTGTGAGAGGTTGAAGATACCTACAAAGGCGGTGGTCTTCAGGTCGCTCTTTTTGTGCTGTCTGTGCCCTCCACTAGTGGAACGAGGTGGTACTATATCTCCGGAAGGGAGAAGATGATGATTTTCACCAACATCAGAAATAAGGTGGCAAGGTGGAAGAGGTAGTTTATTTTCATTCGTGATATGCGGATTGAAAGGATGAATAACGAGCTTGTTGCCCGTATATCATAGTGGCGTACGCCAAATACGTACATGAACTACCCTCAACTGGCTGTTGGTGATGTTGACCTGAAGAATCGACTGCTAGATTATGTTAAGGCTAAGGGTTTAGTAGATTTAGAAGCCTTGGTTACCCTAGAGCAGCTCACATTACTCGGGTTTGTCGACGTGGCAAACCTGTATACTGAAGGTATATTTCTATTTCATACTGCAATTGCTAACAGATCTGAGTCTTATGCCTTTGTTTGTGTAGGAGAAATGAGCTACATATTAGAGAAACAATGTCAATAAGCACAAAGCTCGAGGAACTGTGGAGTTGGGTCTAGTTCCCAATAGCAAACTCGTTTTGATGAACGGCTGCCTGTAGCACCTAAGCGCAGTTCGTCGCATAGAAGTTTGAGCTTGGCATCAAGACCCCGTGTCGAGCAAAGAGTTGAAACTGCACCCTCCAGTTCTAGAAAGCGTGCTCAAGATGACTCTGATGCTGAGGATGACGTGCCACTGATCCAGCGAAGAACGAGCACCAGGGGTCAGGCTGTTTAACCTACTACTGCTTGTACTTCGAACGTGCCACCAACGCTGGCACGTGATGTGACTGAGCCTATGGCCGCACCTGCCTCTGTAGGGGGACCTAGGATTGCTTACCCAGAGGGCTTCAGCTATCTCAGAGCTGACTGTCAATCCGTCGCGCAGGGTATGCAAAATTTCGTTCCCCCTGTAGATCGGCAATGCGTAAATGGGTATGTTCAGCAGTATAGCAGTCATGCTACTATGTTAAAGCTAATGGACGTAAGATTTCTTACCGAATGCATATTATCGCTCTTATAAAAGTTCGCGCTATGGACTAACACCTGAGTTCATATGGCAGGCATTTAGCTATGTTGTGGCACTTTTTGAGTGCGAGTAGGGGGCACGCGAGCAGAACCGTGAGCTCCAACACAGCTACAAACAGTTGGCCTCTGAGAAGGCTAGTTTGGAGGATGAGGTTGGTCATTTGCAGAGCTCGGAGATGGCCAACAGAGTTGCGTCTGCAGAGAGCTGAGTTGATGAGTTGGCCTGCAAGGTCAACGAGCTAAGAGAGGAGCTGGAGAAAGCTTAAGTTGAGAAAGAGAGTGGCATTCAAGTTGCCAAGGAAGAGGCCAGTTGTGTTGAAGACCGGGCCAAAAAGGCTGAATTTGACAGGGAAAAGGTTCTTTATAAGCTGAACTCCTTGACAGACAGGGTTGTAGAAGCCAACCAGAATGTGGCCTGGGCTAAGGCGTCCTTGAAGTAGGCTAAAAAGCACCACCAGCACGCTATCTGCTTTGCTCGGGCACAAGGAGCTAAGTGATTGGTTGGAGTAGACATGTTCCAGGACGCCGTGGCAATTGCCTCAGCAAACACTACCACGGACATCTACAATAAGATTCGTGGGACGGTGCTTCGACATTAGGCTGACTTTCCAATCGACGAGCTGGCCTTCTTTTAGGGGGAGGAGATGGACGATCAAGGAAAAAGCCTCACTCCTCCAGTTGATGCCACCGTGAGGCTAAAGTGGGAACTCAATGAAGAGGGAGTGTCAGTGTGGCCTCCTTCCATTTTAGAAGAGGGGAAGGATACTGAGGGCCTGCCAAGTTTTGATGCTTGGGTGGCAAAGCCCCTTGAGGTCCAAGCTGAGCCATCAAGCACTCCTCCAATCTCTCAGCCCGCCATCCTTCCAGCTTTCCCTTCGCCAGCTCGATCACCTTCTACTCGACCTACTACTGCGCCTGCTGACGCGTCCATCCCCGTCGACCTGACATATGACTAGTTTAGGACTAGCTTAGGATTTTTGTACTTTTATAGTGGTCATTTGACCCATTTATCCTTTGAATTATTATCTCCTGTACTTTAAATGTAAATTTTGAACATAAATACACGATTGGAGATTTTTTGGATTTTCTGTGTTTATTGAGTTGTGTACGTTCTTTACATTTCTGAATACACTTTGTTGATAAGAGGATAACATACATATTAATTGTAAAACTTCCTGAGGTTATGTATGTTCCAAGTGAATGGTAACTGACGACCTTGTAGGTCTGCTAACAGGTAAGACCCAGGTCGCTTAATACAAATAACCATATAAGGACCTTCCTAGTTTGAAGCGAGCTTACCCATGTATGAGTAAGCGTTAGTGAGTCCAGCCTTGTGTAAAACCAAATCACCAACTTGAAATTGTCGAGCTCGTACTCTTTTGTTGTAAAATCTAGCCACGCGATTCTGATAGACCATGTTTTTATTTGAGAGATCTCCCTAACCTCCTCGATAAAGTCTAGGTTTTCTTTAAGAATTGTTCATTATCAAAATCATTGCAACGAGCTAACTCGTTGGATGACAGACCAACTTCCACTTGGATTATGGCCTCAGCTCCATAGGCAAGACAGAATGGGATTTCACTCGTGGTTGAGCTGGGCGTGGTGCGACATGACTATAGAACTTTGTTAAGCTCGTCAACCCAATTAGACTGTGCCGCTAAGACTCGCGTCTTAAGACCCCGTAAAATGATTTTATTCGCTGACTCTACTTGTCCATTTGACTGTGGTGTATATACAGACGTGAGGGTTAGCTCGATGTTATAGTCATCACAGAACGACCTGAGTGCTGCTAATCGGAATTGAGGTCCGTTATCAGCAATTATTCACATAGGAATTCCAAACCTGCGTACAAGCGCATTGACTAAGGCACAAATGTTAACGTGTATACTACATGCGTGTTTTAAACTGTGTGTACCTGCACAGTATGGAATTGAACAAAAATTCCTCTATTTTCTTCTCAGTTGTTGTGGACAGCAGTTTGGCTTCTATCCACTTAGTGAAGTAGTCCACAGCAATTATAAGATGTGTGCAACGTCCCTTACCTTTTGTAAAAGGGCTGAGCAAATCTACTCCCCATTGGGCGAAAGGCTAGGGTGATATGAGAGACGACAACCTCTCGCTTGTGCCAAAAGAGACTTTCACACTTAGTTTATAGACAAACGTGAAATTTGTGTAAACTTTAGAATGATTTCAGATACCTGGCATGTGAATCTCATCAGCATTGAATTGGCAGGTTAGGCATTTTTTGACATAATTTTGTGCATCATCAACCATAGTAGGCCAGTAGTATCTGTGCCTTAAGATCTTTTGAGCTAGAGTTTTCCCTCCTATGTG